GAGGACACGAAACCAGCCCAGGCTGGGGGAGTGAGGGCTGGCATTGCCAGTTCTTACCCGCCCAGAGATCGGCAGCTGCAACACCAGGCACCCCACTGCTTCCTCTTCGAGCCCGCGGCTACAGCAGCAGGGTCCCGCTGGCAGAAAAGAGCGTGTGCGGCGTCCAATACCGCTCCTGTATTGAAAGTCTAAACTCAAGCACTCCCAGAGCCAGAGATTCACAATTAACTAGAAAAGAATGAGCAGCTCCAAGAAACCTTAATCCCCAGTTCCGCGTTCAAAACAGCACTTCCTCTATCTGCAGGAAGGGAGGGAATCCCAGGATGCCCCGCTCCGGTCAGCCTGGGTTGTGGTGCCTTCTGGTAGTCGTAGTCACTGCACCATCGTTTCTTTCATTCTCCCATAGGGGTCCTAAGTCCTGATTTCTTAGAAGAATCATTTGGCTGTGAGGTCTTTCAGAGTCAATCTGAGTGAATTCATAGGAAGAGTCCTAGGGCAAGCAGGAGTCGACATTACTTAATTGCCTAGGGCCTGGCTGGCTAGCACTCAGTTCTAATATTAGCATTAGGTGCCAAGCGCCACACTAGCTCCACAGGTGGAGATAACTAAGGTTTTTAAACTCAAGGTTAGAAGATCACAAGTACCTTATTTTTGTCATTAGTCGTTATTTAATTCAACAGTTACAGACTGGAAAGGCATTCTGCTTAGAACAGGAGCTACAGCAGCAATCAGAACATAAAAAATCCAGGACATTCAAAGGTGACATTCCAATGAGGCAAAGAAAATCAATAAATAAAGGGATCACAAACAGTGCTACGAATAAAAATCGAGTTCATAAATATGAATACTGTTAGAAAAGGTCCCTCAGATGAGCGTGTTGAAGAACAAATCTTGCATCAACAGGATGAAGAGCATTTCTGGCAGATAAAATAAGAATGAAAGCATAAAGTGAGAGCAAAAAGAATATATTGTGTTCAGAACATAATATAGAAGGGGAGAGAGTTATTACAAGAGGAAGTCAAAGTTATATGCAGGGGCAAAATTATGTAGGATCTTGTTGAAAGCTATTGGATTTAAATAAGAAGGTGATGTCTAATGTTAACTTGTATATTTTTAAAATTTATTCTAGGTAGTTGTGGTGAAACATAGCAGACTGGATATGTACATTTATATTTCCTTTTCCTTTAAAATATATTAAAATGACAATAGAGGAGTAAAAAAATAAAAACAAGCTAATGAGGTTTCCATAAAACAACAATTACCTTAGCTAAGATGAGAAGTCAACAAAAAACAAGTTAGTTCGTAACCTCAGAAATCTGGAAATGTTTGTAAATTCAAGGCCAGATGAAAGATGTTGAAATTTGAGACTGAGAAAAAAAAAGTAACATTTTGCTAAAAGTCTAAATAAGGAGCAGTTAGAAACCCACCTCCAGATTTCTTCCAAAAGCAGCTGCCAAGTGACTCATCTTTCCTCTCCAGGCAGAAGGCTACAAGCTTACTCCATGAAGAAAATAGTCACACACCAGAAAATCTATAAACCCGAAGTGCAGAGATGAATAAAGCCTCTGGACTGAAAATGGTTGGAGGGAAGAAGTATGGAAAAGTAAATTACTAAATTATGAATCCCCCTCCTTGCTTCATATTCTGATATCTGATTTGTGCTTCCAAGGCAGGAAATTGGAAAGCTTCCCCCCAGAGAAATAGATTTCCCAAGAGCAAATATTTAGATACATGGACTTTTAGGAAGTTCTCCAGTGGAATAGCCAGGTCCCATTTCAACACTCTGTTATAGGGCCATAGATTGGTGAATAAGCAAGCACCATGGATGTATAGCTCAAAATAATTTTCTTTAGTGCATTATTCTTCAAAATGAATAGATACTCATGAATCATCAGGCATTTGAGTACAACCAATGACAGGAAAGATGGAAAACAAAACAATTAAAAAATGAAAGTGAATTCTGAAAAAACTCAAAGAAGGAAGAAAAAATGAAATATCAAAAAAATAATATCCCCAGAGAGTTTAAGAAGATATTATTACGTTCTGAATCAAAAATAGGAAATTATTATTGTAAATAAACTACAGTTATAGGTTTAAAATACATACCTAAATATAAGCCTAAGAGATAAATCTAAAGAAATTTATCAGAATAATGGCTAGAAAATAGAAGAAAAAATGTCAAATGATAAGTTGGGTCCCACATTGAGCAAAAAGAGATATGGAAAGGAGTATCAGGAAAATAAATTTGGAAATTAATGATCGAAGAAATGAAATTGAAGGTAATGTTTCAAAACATTATTCTTTTTTATTTTTAAATGTTTAAAAAAGATTTATTTATTTATTTGAAAAGCTGAGTTACAGAGAGTCAGAGGCAGAGAGAGAGAGATGTCTTCCATCTTCTGGTTCACTCCCCAGATGGCCACAATGGCCAGAGCTGAGCTGATCCGGGATCCAGGAGCTTCTTCCAGGGCTCCCACGTGGATGCAGGCACCCAAGGGCTTGGGCCATTTTTTACTGAATTCCCAGGTGTATCAGCTGGGAGCTGCATCAGAAGCCAGGATCAGCCAGGCTTGAACTGGCATCCATATAGGATGTCAGTACTGCAAGTGGCAGCTTTACCTGCTACACCACAGTGCATGCCTCTCAAAATATTATTCTTTTTTTAAAAAAAAAGATTTTATTTTTTAACAATTTATTTTATTTATTTGAAAGAGTTACAGAGAGAGGCAGAGACAGAGAGAGAAAGAGAGGTCTTCCATTTGCTGGTTCACTCCCCAGATGGCTGCAATGGCTGGAGCTGCACCCATCCGAAGCCAGGAGACAGGCATTTCCCCCAGGTCTCCCACACTGGTGCAGGTGCCCAAGGACTTGGGCCATCTTCTACTGCTTTCCCAGGCCATAGCAGAGAGCTGGATTGGAAGAGGAGCAGCCCAGACTTGAACCGACGCCTATATGGGATGCTGGCGCTCCAGGCCAGGGCTTTAACCTTTTGTGCCACAGCACTGGCCCCCAAAACGTTATTCTTTATTCATTCTTTCCCAGGAAGATTCCACAAAAATAAGGAAGGAAGCAAAAAGCAAAGATGTAGAATTTGAAAAGAAGCTACATAAAAATGAGAAGAATGGGAGGGAGGGAGGGAAGGAAGAGAGGAAGAAGGGAGGAAGGGAGGAAGGAAGTGGAGGAAGGATAAACAGAGAGAGGGAAGAAGCAACTTGCAGATCACCTCAAGCTCATGACTACATTGAGAAAAAGAATTATGCCCTGTGGTCAACAGAGTAGTGGCCCTCTAAGATGTCCATATTCTAATTCTAATCCTCAGGAATTGTGAGTATGTTACCCTTACACAACAAAAACTGCCTGTGATATGATTAAGCTAAGGATCCTGGGATGGGGAGATTATCCAGTGGGCACAAAATAGTCACAGTTGTGCTTATACAAAGGTAATATGAGGGCCAGTTTCAAAGGAGTCCCAACAACAAAAGCAGAGGCCAGAGTGATGTGATTAATGAAAGGATATATAAGTCAAGGAATTCAGGAAACAAGGACTGGAAAAGACAAGGAAATAGATTTTCCCAACAGTGTTCAGAAAGAACATAGCTTTGCTAGAACCTTTATTTTGGCTCAGTTATACCTGTTTTGGACTTATGGCCTCTAAAAGTATAAGACAATAAAATCTCTGTTGCTTTAAACTAATAAATTTGTGGCTATTTACTATAACACCAATAGGAAACTAATGCGTACATTTAGTGGTGTGTTTGATTATGAATTAATGATGAACATATAGAAAACTGAGCAAATGATGACAGAAAACAAGTGGTCATTAAATTTAGAACAATGAAAATGCTATGTAAAGAAGAAAATAAAATTAATTACAGTATAACATGAGTACAGCTTTTATCACTATTAATATAAATGGTTTACATATACATTAACCAAAATAACTTTGATAGAATTATATATAAGAGGATGTGAGATGAGGAAGTTGTGTGGGTGTGTGTGTTTGTACACACATGTTGGAAAGCCAGTATAGCTGTGAATGATAAATCAGCATCTCATATAAAAGATTAGCAATATATTATGTATGAAAGTTTTAAAATTTTCTAAAAATATAAAAGAAATATCAATATAAATATATGATTTCAAAATATGAATGCAATAAGCAAATTTAAAATGGTAGTTCCTGGAGAGTGGCAATTTGGGAAGGTCAGGGAGAGAAGTGCTAACCTTCACACAAAAAACTTTGTAATATTGGAGTTTAAGAGATATTTAATTATATTTTGTTAAAATAAATAAAATATTAATTTTAAATTACTCTGCCTTGTGGTTAGGGAATAAATTGTAAAGGAGTCACGATGGGCAGAGACTGCTTAGTCAGGACAGTGAGTTTATGAAAGAGATGATGAAACACTGGAGCAGATGTCAGCAGACAGAGTAGGCAGATGAAGGTGGTTTTGTAAATAGATCCTAAAGAAAGGAAAAGATAGATGATAATTTCTAGGTTTTATAAATGAAGCGTTTGGCTTCATGGTGGCATCATTACAGAAATAGAAAAAAAGAAAAAATGAGGTGGGTAAGAGTGGAAAGGGATCAATAAATATGTTTTGAGTTATCAAATATGAGATGCCATCAGTCATCCAAATGGAAGTTGCATGTATGAGTTTGGACCTCAAGGGCTGAGGTTTTAATTTGGCAGAAAGAAGTTGTAGGTAAGTACACTTTCATGACACTGCAGTGAGTGAATACAAAAGGACTGGGAAACCAAGATTTAGAGACTGGTAGGGGAAGAGGGCTCAGGAAAGGGGATGAGAAAGAGTGGACATGAAGTGAAAGAAGGTTATGGTTTTTCCATGGAAAACTGAACAAGTGTGTGGTGGTTATCTATGGTACACTGCTCAAATCCTTAGGACTAACGCACTTATTCCCATATTGCTAAGGGTTCTAGGTCAGGTTGCATTCCAGAAATTGTCCTCCGGTTAAAGGAGCTGTCTCACTCAAGAGTGGGTACCTTCCTTGGGCTTGATTCCATGACATCTAATGACTAATTGGTTTAGGGATGTAAAGGCTCAGTGGGGTTGAGAAACCCCAGATCTTGCTGAAAAGACACCCATTCCAAGTCTACTCAGAAGGGAGACATACTTTAGAGTCATCTTCAGGTATGTGGAAACAAATGGAGACCACCTAAATGAGAACAAGGAACAACAAATTTGTTCAGCACTGACAATAGTGAGGGAGTCAGCCACCACTCTCTGACTCAGATCCGTCCTGATTGGTGGACCAGTAGAAGCGGGGTGTTGAATGTAGTAATATAGGAGTGAAGGCACATTTGGCTCTCTATAGTTTGTCTTTAATTGGGAGTGGAGACAAAAATTAGGGAGGCTGTCAGTTAACTGTGAAGTCCTGGCCACTGTTTGGCTTTGCCGACTGGTTGCTACATGCAGTGGTCTGATTTGTTCTTGTGCATAGCAGGTTGTCTTGCTGGATTCCTTGCTTCAGGTTATAGGTTAGTGTTCTGTTTTTGTATACAGGTTGGCCATTGTTTCTTCTTCTCTGGAAGGAGAGGAAGAGGGAAATATGAATGTCAGGGTGGCCAAGTGTTTAAGGCGGATAAAATCCTGTTAATATTTCATAAAGTTTTGTCTAGGTTTCCTGTGTCAAGATTTCCTTCCTTTCTTGGTCACACATACCTCCCCTCTGCTTATTTTTCAACTACTAGCCCTGGCAAACACGTTATAACCGTCCCTCCCCCACAGTCAGCGGCCACTAAAATCCAGGGGTTGGCGCAGGCGCCCACGCGCCCGACCGCGGCTGGGGACTGGGAGCACGGTCGGCTGATCTGGGCGGACACGCCTCCTCCTCCGCTCGCCGCCGCCGCCGCCGCCGCCGCCTGCAAGGGCTTCTGGGAACCGAGACTCGGGGTCTCGGGGAAGGGGCGCAGGTGACCGCCATCTTGGATTTCGAACAGGCGCGCTGCCCTCCGCAGTAGGGGCGGAGTGGCCGTCCGTCTGTCACTCGCAGCAGCCGTCACCGCCGGGAGGTGGGAAGTCAGGGCACAGGAGAGTAGCACGTTAATGGGTAAGTGGGAGTGACACGACCAGGTTGGGGGAGTGTTGGGCTTGTCCCTTTGGGTGCTGCCAGCGCCTGGGCTACTTTTTATGTGCCCCTTGCCTCGCGAACGGTTCGGGACCTGGCTTTGCCGGAGTGTCTCAGGTTTCGCCGAGGCGACAGTGGTCGCGGGGGGCGTGGCAGCCACACCTTTCGCTTTCAGACGCGAAGGCGAGGCGATTCCAGATTCGCTGCCCGGCCCGGTTGGTCCTCCGCGGGAGCCGTGGGCTGCCGGTCGTCTGCTGTCGCTGCCTGGCCACGCCGTTTCTCGCTAGTTCTCGATCCGCGATCTCGCCAAACGTTGCCGCCGGTTTCTGCTTCCGAGCGGCCAGGTCCGGCAGCTCGTGGGGGTGCCACAGTGTCGGGGGAAGAGGCCGGTCCCAGTCCCAGAGCTTAGGTGCCGCACCCACTCCCTCCAGCCGCTCTCTTCCCACCTGGGAGGCTGCACGAGCTCCGCCCGGCTTCTGCAGACTCTCTCTGAGAGCCTGTCAGCTCCATTCCAGGATGAAAACTTAACGGTGTTCACAGGTAATGCTTGAGAGATCAAAGCATTGGAAAGGGCGTACTGAAAACTTCAGAAGAATGTGACACTGGCGTTTACTCTTGAGCTTTTGGAACAACCAAAAAGCAACACAAAGACTTCAGACTTGTCTCTTAATTATGGCACTAGTAATGACTCAAGTTTTCTAGGACTTGTGTCTTTATAGACCTAGGTGCTGCTTGTTTGCTTGCACGGGCTCCAGTCGACACTTCTCCCATGTACAGTCCTGTAATTTTTACCCACGAGGAACCCAGACGCGTAGAAATAAAGCTTTACTGGCATAAGGATTTCTGTTGATAGAAATTAGCAAAACAACTTGTAAGTTCAGGTTCCAGTTATTTACCCACCTTCAACATGGTTTTCTCAGGAGCTGGATAAAAAATAAGCTTATGAGTGAAAGAAATAATGCCTCCGTTGCAGAACTTTAAAAATATCTAAATAGCATTTCTTACATTTAAAATAACTTTGATGAGACTCCAGCTTACAGTCTTTAAACTTTTTTTTTTTCCAATGAACGAAGACTTCCATTGAGTGGGGCAACTTTAGGAATACTGTTCCTTGGCCCTAATTTGTCCCTGTTAAAGCAGTACAGCGAGGATCCACAGTTAAAAAGGAAGCAAGAAGTTGTACAATAGACGAAAAAGGAACAAGTGATATATGATTGCAGGGACTGCCTTTTATTTGGTTAGCAGATTTATACTGAAAGGTTTTACTGCCCAGATTAAGAGTCTGGGAACTAATTGGTGTGTGCCTGTGGAGTGAGGAGTGAGGTCCGCAGTAATTCAATCAGATGGGGGTAGAAAATATTAAAAGTTCTGATTATTTACCTTTTGAAACTACTCCTTCTTTAAAAGTTTCTTTTTTGTGTGTGAATTTTACAATGGGGTGATATATTAGATTGTTAATACTTACAGATTGAGAATTTATACACATATATTTTATATGTATAAGAGTATATGATCAAATATGAAATATTTTAAGAGACTTCTTTTCATGAACATTTTATTTTACTCAAATATTTTATATATACTGAGCATAATTAAACAGCTAACATTTTGGCCCAACTTACCCTGTTCTGAACTCTGATGGGAATGCCAAGATGGTATAGTCACTTTGGAAAACAGTTTGGTGATTTTTGAAAAAGTGAAACAAAATTTAACATATTTTCCACGAATCCTATTCCTAGATATTTACCCAAGATAAATGAAAACCCAGATTTAGATTTACATAAACACCTGTACATGAATGTAGAAAATTTATTCATAACTACCAAAACTGGGAAACTACTCACATGTCATTCAACTTGTAAATGAATAAACTATAATACAGTAAGCAATTGATATATGCCAGTGATGTATATTACTCTCAAATACTATTATAAACGAAAAGAAGCTGGTTTCAAAAGACTACAGTGAAATGATTCCATTTATGTGAAGTTCAAGAAAAGGCAGACAGAACTATAGGGATGGAGAATAAGTCAGTCATTGCCAGGTATAAATTGTGGAAGAAGGAGTAATAGGAGCAGCATGAAGGAGTTTTGGGTGTGAAAGAACTGTTCTGTGTCTTGATAATGATAGTTATATTCCTGTGCATTTATTAAATTCATAGAACCATATCCTAAAAATGATTTCTACTGTATGAAAATATAAAATGAAATACTAACTGAATTCATTATTCTTGTTTCAGAAACAAGTAGGGAAGTAAACAAAATAACCATTTCAGTGATCTCCCACTTGTATTCCTTGTATTGAGTTATTTTGTCATAATATTATCTGACATGGCTCAAGCTAATAATCATGGAATCTAATTCTATTCCTTAGAATCAAGTCCAGACTTTTTTTTTAAAGACAAAATTCTTTCGAAAAAGTTTAACGTTTTATAAAGTATTTGTTTTGAAGATTAAATTTTGAAAGCTATGTAAACCAGACACAAGTTTTGAAATGAACATCTCAAATCACTTTAATACCTTTTTCTCATGGGATGATAGCAGTCTTATTATAATACTTTCTTATTTTTATTAAAAGTAGCTCTTTCCAGATTATTACTAACAAATTCTGATTTTTAGTACAGGTTGTGTATCCCTTATCTGAAATATTTGGGACCGGAAGTATTTGGATTCCAGGTTTTTCTGGATTTTGTAGTTGCACAAACGTAATGAGATACCACAGGGATAGGAACTAAGTCTAAATATGAACCTCATTTATGTTTTATATAAACTTTATGTACACAGTCTGAAAGGAATTTTACACAGGACGTGTAACAACATTGTCACGATGTGCTACTTGAGACTGTGTTGGCACTGAAAAGACTTCAGATTTTGCAGGGTTTAGGTTTTCAGATTAGGCATGTGCAAACTATACTGTGCTTAGGCAAGATAGAAACATAATACTTTCTATTTATTTTTAAATTTCTTATGAACTGTTTTCTAGTTAAAAGCTGTTTGGTATTAAGTGTTTTATGCTCAAATTCTAAAAGTAACCATAGTCCTCAGCTGCACTTTTTGCTCTAAGACTTTCATGTTTTAGGGATATTTACACAGTAAATGTAATTTCAGTCACTGTGCTCTTCCTCATCACTGAAATATGAGTTTTTCTTTATCCTTATTCATCTTGTTCATCTGATGTTGAGGGACCCCCTGAACTGGGTTTCCCTTTTCTTTATTCGTCTTCAGGTTTGGCTTGCTGGAAGGCAATGGCCTGGCTGAGGCTGTCCAGAGCAGGTTCGTCCCCTTCATCTTCACTTTCTTCTACTTCCTTGATTTCTTCTTCTAGTTCAAGAACTTTCTTTTTTTCTTTTTTATTCTTTTTTACTTTCTTCTTTGGAAGGTCACATTCTCCAAGCATAATTTTAGGACAGGCATGACTTAAATGTCCACTTTCTCCACATTCATAGCATTCGGATTTATCAAAGTAGTTTCATCTTAGGATGAATTCAGCTGCTCTTTCCTTGTCGGTAGCAATGCTTGCTTTAATCACTCTACCAAAGAACTGTTGTTTATCGCTCTGGTGCAGTTTTTTATTTTTTAAAGATTTTATTTATTTATTTGAGAGGTAGAGTTATAGACAGTGAGAGGGAGAGATAGAGCTCTGATGCAGTTTTGCTCAGTCTTTATCCAAAAACAAAATGAATGCAACCCCTTTACTCTTCCTGGTATCTTTATCTTTCATTATAGTAACCTTTACAACTTTGCCATACTTGGAAAATATCCCATATAGGTCATTGTCAGGGAAAAGGGTAAGTTGGAAACACACATGGTGCTTTTACTTGGGACCAATCCACCACTCATTTCTTCAAATGGGGGTTGGTGGTGTGGGAGCCTTCTGCCAAGCAGGCTCACTCCTGACTCCTGGTGCACCCTTGCTGTAGCCTGGGTTTGCGGGTGCTGGATAAGAGCAGGCACCAAGAAACAGACCTGGGCGGCCGTGGGCCCCGGTGGCGGCACACTGAAAGTCCACATTTTTCAACTGAATTGCAAAATCGTGTATCCTCTCTTTAAGGCTTCTCACAAGC